GATAATGACAATAACAATAATAGTAACAATAGCAGCAGCAACGACAACAATAACGAAAATAACAATAGTAATAGTAACAGTTGCAATGAAAACGACAACAACAATAACAATAAGAATGATAGTAATAACAGCAATAATAACAACAATAATAATGATGATAATGTAATAATAAATAATAGTTATTATTACACAGTAATATTGATAAGGCAGTAGCAACAACAATAACGATAATAATAACTACAATAATAACGAAAATATTGATAATAGCAACAATGATAATTATGATAACAATAATGTAATAATAAATGATAGTTATTACAATGCAGTAATAAATGTTATTTATTACCATTATAATTTTTCATTAGCTGTGATTAATGATACTGGCAGTAACGATAGCAGTACAATAATTAATGTAATGACAACAGTAATAGCAATGATAATCATATAATGAAAAACATTTCCAGTTCTCCAAAATCTGAATTCAACAAACGAAATATTTATCCATGATAATGCTAAATATGAAATTCAATGACTATTGGAAAAGACAAAAAAGTTTGATATTACACCACGGGTAGCAGTCAGAAATAAATAAAACAATCTGGGGAACAATCTGAGAGTAGCTGTAAAAAATGTTAATGTAGAACAAATTTTTTTTCCTATTAAAGCAGTATGCTAATTGGCAACAAATTATCCGACTCATTTCAAAATTTTACAATGATAGGATTCAATGAAAGATTATTGAAGTAATTTTTAGTTTTATAGAATATTCAAAGAGTAATTCCGACCGTACTTTGTGCAATATCATATTTAATTTTTCCTATTAACTAAAAATTGGAATTAGAAGCCTCGATTTAAAGAAAGAATAGACAGCAATTAGTTTTCCTGGTCGGCTTCCTTATCTGTAATCAATATCTGAATATAAACATCCTCGCTTTATACTTGTATGGACTCATTGTCGAAAGATTTTCAGACGGATCTTTGTAACTTACCTATATCCATTTCCTTTTCATAATAAGAATGAATTGGAACTAAGTACAAAAATTTGTTGCCCCGACTTATTTTGCATTTTTTTTAAAAATTTTAAATCATAACTTGAATTAGAAAAAATTTATTCAAATCAATTTAAATAAGATTTGCTTTATTTCAAAAGCTGAAAGGTAGATTAGAAATAGATTAACAGATGGATGAATAAATATCATGGACTATTTTTAATATATCTTAGAAAGCTTATGAAATGATTATAAAGATAACCACACAGACATATAAAAGAAGACAGTAAAATGATAATCACGGTGATCAGTCATACATTCAACAAAAAAATACAACCATTACAATATTACTTTTATCAGAAAACACTTCTCGTCTTTTGAGACAATGCAAACGATAAAGAAAAATAATAGACTATGGCATGATAAAATAATTGAAATGTATTCTCCAATCTCATAGAATTTGGGAAAGAGAAGCACAGATGAAAATCAAATTATATTCTAATGATAGAATACAATTACTATGAAATTTGAATTTTTTGTCATGAAACTAGAATATTTAAAAAAAAAAAATGCTAATTGATCCCTATCACTTTACTACCGTGAACATACATTCACGGAATTGTAATTTAGATTTTTAATTACAATTCAACTAAGCAAACTTCTGAAATATTTCCTAATATCTCTTAGTCTTTCCTACTGTTGGAACGATTTAAGAAAATATCCCTTATAAGTAAACAAGTAATAGTCTACGCAGACTTTCTAAATCATTTAACAGCAGCCTTCCTATGATTGATCTGGCAATCCTAAAATCATTATACTTTTGAATTTTAAAATAACCGAATTTCTTCGCCATCATCAATCTCGATCATCTTGAATGAAAATTTGCAACACATCGATAAGTTGTTTATGACAATGCGGACATGAACCACCATCGTCACATAATTTCCGCGCTTTCTCATAACATCCGATAACACATCCACAACCATTTTCACCACCAGCAACTGCTGACATCGTATCACAATCATTTGTACACAGCAAACAGCGATAGATTTTGGGAAACCAAATTTGTGCAACACCTTCAACTGAAAATGAAACTATTCCTTCTTCATTAAACTTTTCAAACCTTCAATAAGTTCATCATCTATAGTTTATATCTGGTCAACTCGTACTAAGTAACTACGCTAATTCAAATACCAAACGACTAATTTCAAAAAATGAGAAAACCACGTATTGGAAATCATACTATTCAGAAAACATCTTTTTCTTAATTATGAATGAAATAAGAAAAAATTTAATATTGGGTAAATGATAAGAAGGAATTTAACGTTTTGGCATTTTCTATGTCATTTTTGTGGTTCGTTCTGCTATCAATTTCTTTTATTTTATGATCGTTGTTAATATTTCAATTATAATTTCAGCATTTGATTAAGATGAACATAATGAATAAATCTAAATATTTTTAAACTTAAAGAATTGAAAGAATCTATAAATTATGCCTTCGATGAAATAAGTAAAAAATGTACTTTTTTTCCGACAAATTGGACATACAACTTCCATTGACATATTTTTCGCTTTATTTCGCTTCCGTTCATAGCTTATGTAATTATCCTTGCAATTTTTACAACATACTGCATGATTGCATGGCATTAGAAGCATATCGATGGGTCGTTCTAAGCAAAATGTACACATCGGTGTTGCGACCTATAATACAAACAAATAGGTAAAAGTTCCGGAGAAAAAAACAAACCAATTAATATGTATTATCAGAGAATTTTTTCTTTTTTAATAATGAGTCGTTAAAGAAAAAAGAAAAAAAAAAGTCCCACAATGCTTTCCATTAAAATATTCAATGTGATTTATTTGTTGAACATCAATTTTACTGTTTAACGCAACAGTAGTTCCTCCGGAATGTAAAAGCAGTGTTATGACAGCGCCCAACTATTTCCTGTTTCACATCTCGATAAAGAAGTCATATCAAATATTGAAGAATTAGAAAAATTATGTAAAGTGCAACACGTAAGAATATTAATGAATATAATTTTCATTATATTTCTCACAATAAACTCCCACGTTTCAAGTTTCAAGAAGCACTTAGTAATATTATGAAATATTAAAAAATAAATGCAATACCTTGTCGGATGTAGATGCCTCGATTTCAACCAGCGGATTAAAAGTTTCTTGTTCCTCATTGTCGACAGCTTTTTTTTTCTTTTGCGCTGTCCACGTAAACATTTCAAAAGGATTTAAAATTGCAATAAGAGGTGTGCCCTGTCAAATACAGTAACGATAAGTAATAAAAAATATAAGCACACCTACAATAAGTCCTATGCTAACCGTATTGGGGAATGATCCCATATTACGATAATTATCTTAAGAATCTCGACTTCAGTGTAAAGCGTATAATATCATTTAAATAACATTTCTGAAGACAATCTCTAATAACATGTGAAAAGTTTTCTTTCCTTATTCAAAAATTTGCTGCAGTTACTTTAAAATTCTCATTTAGTTTTTGACTTTTAAAAAACAAAACATTAATTACATGTTTCCATTATCTTTAATAATTTTTGAATGAAACATAAACCACGAACGCAATATTAAAACAAAGAAATTATTGCTCCGAATATTAGTGAATTTAAATACGCTAATCGATAAACTTCAATCCTTCAAATCAATTGACTTTTACCTCTTCATTAAACATTTCATAGCTTGTCAGTGCTAAGTACAATTCTTCCACCGGATGATTGGGAAGGTAATCAAAATAGACACAACACGATGGCGGTAATGAATTAAGGCGGAAACGGACACCCATGCGTTTCTTTTCAAATCGTATGAGTATTCGAAGATAATCATCTGAAACAAAAATTCTACCACAGAAAATCGCAATTACTGGGAGTATACATAATTATAAATTTTGGAAGATAAAAATTCTTTTTATAACATATAACATACCTGCTCCCACCCGATTCTTAGCCCATAATGGCATTTCCGGTGAATCCCAACTCTTGAAGGCCACTGTATTACTGGGATGCAATTTTTCCCTAATGATTTCGATACCAGAACAGACCGAAAAACCCACAAGCGGTAGCTTTTCAAAATCTTTCTGAAATCTACCATGTATTTCGCACAACATTCATGTTATTTTTCAAAGTTCTATTATCTAACTAATCTTTACTCGATAATTCTTACTAGTGGATCCGACCAATATTTTTGAAATCATTAAAAGATGAAATTTTCTGATAAATATATACCATAAAAACTAGATTTATACAATGATCCGAATGAAATTCGCAATACTTCCATAGTGATATATTCGATACAATACAATTCTTGAAACGAATAAAATGCATTTTTGCATACTTCACGTCCGAATTCATTCTGAAGTAAACTGCACCCAACAATGTGGTATCTGGTAAGAAAGCACTCATTATCCTATCACTTGGATCTCACAATTATCACAGAACTATATGCATTGAAGAGAAATTGGAAACAACCACCATTGCTTTACTCACCAACTTAAAAGCCTTACTTACTTGAAATATCATGTGATACCTACTTACGTACTTGCCATTCTCATTACTTTCATTCGCTCCCTTATTACATTTCCTAGTGCATTTTACAATCTTGATAAAATGAACTAATATAGAGAAATACACGTTAACAACACAGGAACAAAAAGGAACACTTGAAAATAAATTATTTATTCATAGCATTTAGAAAAATAACACATCAAAAATGTACAGTGTTGATCTTCCTGAAATGCACAGTTTGCATAGAATGTTGCAAGATCCATTATGCATATGGATCAAAAAGCAATGACACTCTATCTTTTGTTTGCCAAAAAATCAACCGTCGTTATAAGTTGAAACTGCGCATGCATATGCAGCTAAATCTATTCAATGATATAAGGAATGAAGCAATTGACATTAAAGTAAAAAAAAAAAAAACGTGCACAGTTAAAACCTTTCCTATTTAATTTAAAGTACGACGCCAAATTAACAATTCATTGCGGTCAAACAAATCAATACTGTCTCGTTCATGCTCTCGACGAATATGTGCCAGCAAACATTCTCGATCTTGAAATTGCTCCAAACAAAGCTTACACACTTCCATTCTCGTCCTGAAAATTCTATATAGAGATTAACCAAAGACACCCATTCGTTAGCATGCTCAAAGCAAATTATTTTCAATAGAATACTATTTCTGAAAAATAAATTTAAGTACCAAATTAGGATTAATTTTTGAATGCTAACATACCACAAAACCAACTCACATAAACGGCTGAAAATGATCATTATTCACTGTAGCTGTTGTTCCATCCAAATGACGGGTTAATTGTGGGAGCGAGAAAAACTGAAATAGAAAGAGGAAATAAAGTTACTCGATCGTAAATTATCACTTTCAAATCTAAGCAGTAAAACTATCATAGCCTGAAATTACTTCCTGATATCATAATGCGTAGCAGTTACCTGTGCCGTTTCATGATCTTCACTACCGAAATGTGCATCACTTTCTTCCTGACTGGAAAAACTTTCATCACAAATGACACAATTCGAAATGAATGTTGGCGGCTGTGCTAAAGAGTCGAAATCTTCCACACTTGTATATAAACTTAATGGTAAATTGGTAAGTTCAACGGAAGCATTCACCGGTACCACTATAGTATCTGTCTGTAATGGATGCATTGATCAAAAATTGATTAACTAATTACAATCCATTACCATTTAGAATGCAAATAAGTTGTAACTGAAGCTTTTACACTACCAACATTAAGTAATTTTATTTAATATCCGTTGGTAGGTTGCTGATGGTTTGATAAAAAATCTGGATTTTAAAACTGAAGGAAAAATAATCTACTTCTTTTCGTGATAAAAAAGTAAACATGCGCTGCGAGTCGACAATGATAAATGAACCAGCATTCAAGAATGGATATGAAACAGCAATTCGAAGCATTACACCTCCTGGTGATAATGAGCGCAGCATTTGCATTGGAATTACAATCGCACCACAGTTATTTATTTCATTTACATCACTAACACTGTAACTGGATATAATCTGCTAAATTTAAAAAGTCAACTTCAGTTGAAGTTAGCTTGAAATTCATTGGTAGAGTTTGCCAGAAAAATTATAACAAGTTTTTAAACGCTGAATGATGAATATTCGAAGAGCTTAATGGTAAAAAATATTAATGTAATTGGCAACTTACGAAATTTCATTAACTGTCACTTCAACTGTTTGTGGATTCAAATGCGGTTGCAATCTTAACACAAGATGCGTTGCTGTACCATTAACGTCCTAAAACGAAAATAGACCAATTATAGCAAAGTATTTCTATCAATTACTTTGAAAACTTTAACTTCAAATGAAGAAAAAAATATTTTCATCTAACAAACCCTGCTTGAAATACATGAAAAAGCAGAATTAAACGAAGGCTGCACACATCCCGCATTTTTAGGATCAGGCGCCAGTTGCGACGCAGTTGCCTGAAATTGATCACTGATGGCAAGCGAAGACGCAACGCCATCAATACCATCAACAGTTACGTACGAGTGGAATTGTCTCACGTGCGCATCACGGCTACGAGCAGTCCTATAATCTAAGCATTAAATTCATTTTATAGACTAAAAGTGAAGAAACCTAAAAATTCCTATACTTCTTTCAAAAGCAATAATTCCAATACACTTACTTAAATCGTTCGTTGCATGTTTCATCCGTACATTTGAAAGATTTCTCTTCTGCATGAGCTAAATATAGATGCTGTCGTAAAGCTGACAAAGAACAATAGCATCGCTTACACAATGAACACATTTCACGTGCATTACCCAAATCCTCGTGTATTTTCAAGTGTTGATATAAAGTCGATTTAACACGGAAAGATCGATCACATATCCCACATGAAAAGGGTTTCTCACCTAAAACAAAAATTTGAAAAAAAAAAAACTTCCATGAAAAATTGCAACTTTCAAAACATCTCATTTCAAAAAAATTAAATGTCAAATTACCTGTGTGAATTCTCTTATGCCGCACCAAATCTGATGGTTTTTTGAATCGCCGATCGCATACATCACATACATGCGACCGCTGGAGAAAAATTAAAGTCAATTCATCTAAACTTATTCAATTTCCATGAAAACAGTTGAATTTTTCAGTTGACATTTTTCTTCTATTTCATCTTCTCATTTTGCTTAATCATCGAATCAATCAACGATAACAGAGGATAAGTCCTCAAATGTGATAAAATACTCTTTTGTGCAAAGTACAGAACAGATCTGTCGTTTTTAATTTTTTCCTTTTATACCGTTTTAATTTGCCTAATGCAAAAACATAGAAACTTCCATAACCAATTGTTTCAAATATTGACATTAATCATCAATATATTCAAAAATGCATTATTGAACAATGTCAATACTAATGAAAATTGAACACAATACGCTAAAGTAACTAATCATTCGAGTAATAAAATCAAGAATCAATATACAAACCTGGTCTTCTTTCAATAAGAAATTTGTATCGCAGGTAAAACTTCGTTCTTCATGCTGATTCTGCAAATAATACCGCTTTTAAAAAAATGAGTTAATTTTAGTAAAACTAATTAGGAATTTTTTTCTCTTCTTTATTTTCAAATACACTGGGAGAAAAAAATAAAATTCTCCCTATTAAAATAGGACAAACACCAATATCGATTTTTAAAGAGCTTGGCCTTTCTTTCCATGATTCTTTGTCATTGTAGATAAGCTAATGCGTCCAAATACTATCGTAAAGAGTGAGTAACTGCACGATAAATAAGAAGTAGACGATGCCAACCACTTAATCACTTGCCTCTCTGTTAAGCTATTAGCAGTTTAGATTGCTTCATTTCTTAATTGGCTAATAGACGCTGAAATCTTCTCTGCATGTTTGGTGCTTTCCATATTTTTACATAAAAAGTAAACTTCCAAAAAATGTCGGATATTTTTACGGACGAAAAAACATACTGTGCGGTGGAATGCTTGCAAATGATCTGCAAGACTGACACATCCGGAAAAGGTTTTTGAGCAATGATTACATGCCAGGATAGGAAGACTGTGCAGCGGATCAGAAGTCATATTGTACAAATGAGTTGATAAAGTAGCATCTGCAAATCACTTCGCATTCCATATTACTTCTATGGAAAGATAAAACAGTAGATATGAAAAATTTCAGCACATATACCTGAACTAAAACTAAAAAAGCACACAGGACAACGGGTTTCTTGAGATTTTTCAACTGCCAAACCATTTATTAGATCGCAGTTCTGTGATATTAAACAAGTATTCAAATACGATGCCTGAAAAAGCAATGAAATAAAATTTGGAATCGTTGAAATCTTTGGAAATCCTATGCTCCTAATCTGTTCATCACCCAATTTTGACGGGAATAGTATTCTCTATAATATTCTCTACAACTGCATAAGTGTTTTTTTTTAAATTATCTGTTAGTTACCTCAGTTGAACTATCAATATTCAACTGTTTCGAATCAGCATCCAAAGACGAAAAATCAAAGTTACTGAGGTCATTTTCACTAAAGTGAGCATTATCATCTTGCACACTTTTACTAAATAAATTATCGGGTGACCATGAAAGAGATTCCTGAAAAAACACAAAATGAAACTGAAATGTTTATCTTTTTTATAGAGAAATGTCAAAAATCCTTGGGTTTGTTTAACTCCTTTTCTATTACCAAATTAAGGTTGACGGGTAGTATAATGGATGTGCATCTGATATTTTCTTTGATGCAGAGAGATGCAAACTTAATCTATCAAATAGTTTTGAAATCAAAAACAATTCAAACAAATCAATAATCAAACAATGGTCACAAACTTCGATTAATTCAAGTAATAGAAAAGGAGTTAAATTCAAGTGTCAAAAGGACTTAATTCAAGTGTCAAAAGCAGTAGTAACTAACAAAATTCATCAAGCTGTTGGGTCGTGGATGTTTGCTTGTATGTGCTTTTAGTTGAGAACGGCGCCTGAATGTTTGATCGCAGGTTAAACATTTAAATGGCCTTTTGTTGGTATGTATCTCGCTGTGATATTTTAACTGGGCTAAAAAACAGTTAATTTTGCTTTCGCATTAAGAAATGACTTTCGAATGGAGAGATAAGCATAAAAATGTAAAAATATTGAGTATTTCGATAAGGGAGTCTTCACATCTGCATAATCTAACATTGGAGTCGTTACAACTTTATTAGCCCTTGCAGTATTGTACCATAAATTGCATATTATGCGATTTAAAGTAACCCTTCAAAATTAACTCTCTCCTAGAATATAACGCAGCTTTATAAAATTATGCACCTAAGGAATAAAATGACTTATAGCATAATCGGCATATGTGCGGTTTAATGCCCGTATGTCGATTAATATGCTCCTTCAGACGGCGAAGTGTCGAAAATGATGCCGTACACGTGCGACATTTATATGGTCTCCGTTCTGGCTCGGGGTTTACAGAGGTAATTTCAGTGGGTGGCAGAAGTTCCAGCAAACTTCCAGACGAACCAACTTCAGCATTTGCTGTTAAACAGGCTATCTGATGCTGCTCCAACGCCTTTTTGCTCAGGAAAATCTAAAAATGCAGAATCTATTTTTCTTTATACATATGAGTTGCAAAACTCCAATGTAAATTTTGGAATAAACATGTACAGATGCACATAAAGTAATAAGACACGTTCATGAGATCAATGATAACATGACAGTTTTATGAGAAAATGATACACGAATAATTTATGTAAACAAATATCTTAACATACCACACCATAATACATTGTTGTAGATGAAAATTAGAACAAAATAATTGAAAATGATTTACTTGTGAACACACTCCACAATGTTCTAACGGTCTTTCATGGATTTTGAGGTGACGACGTAATGATGGTGTCGATGCTAACTGAAAATTACATTTTTTCAGTTAATTCCAATATTTTCACTTCTTGTAATTCTAAAATTCTAAGCCTCCGAAACCTTTGATGTACAAAAAAAGCATGTTCACCTGTTTCATGCAAACAGGGCATCGTGCACATGTGTAGTAATTATCGGGATGATCAGCACGAACATGACTATCCATATGTAACTTTAATGAAGACTTCAAATTAAAATCTCGGCCACATCGATTACATGAAAATGGTCGTTCACCACTATGTATTCGATAATGCCGCACTAAATCTGATGTCTTGCCGAAAATCTTCCCACACACGCAGCAACAAAATTTACGCTCTTTGTTTTGTTTCTAAAACTTTCTTCATAAAGCTTTGAACTCTGTGTCTAAAAATCTTTATAATTCATAATTTACAGAAAAAGGCGAACACCGAAAGCATATTTAAAATTGTACGCAAAAAATTAATATCAAGTATTAATATGAAAAAAAGCTTGAAAGCAAAGAAAATTTGCGTGACCCTGATTTTCATGTCAAAAAACTTAAACAATAAAACATCTGCAATTTTTTTCGAGAAAGATGCAATCAAATCATCATCATATCCTTCCAACTCAAAATTTAATTTATGAGAATCCTACAAAGTACCTGTAGATTAACAATTCCTTCTTCGGCGATCGTAGAATTTTTCAGATATACTGAAAAAATAAT